AGAAATGGTCTCAATTTCTACACGGAACCAAATGAGCCGAAAATCTCTAATTTACACATCCCGGATTCTCCTGGGCTTAAGTCTAGGAGGGCTTTAACTACTGGCGAGAAAACTAATTTTTGCACGTGAGGGATTATTTGAGCCTCTGCATGTCGTAATCCGTCTATCGACAGCCTCCCACAAGGTAATGGATCAACAGGGTCCTCTTGTAAGCACCTCTTGCTTTTAAGAAATTCTTCTTAAATCACAGAGCCTAAGCAACTCCCTTCTTAAGCTTAAACCATGACGAATATTGCAGAACCACTAGGTCCAGAGGTTGTTTATCCTCCGTAAGAGTAACATGGTTTGTTCGAGCTTGACCTCTGACCGCTGTGTCTTACTCAGAAATGCTGACTGATGAGACTGGATGGGCAGGCTACGATGTTTCACTTTCCCACAAAAACTTAGGGCCCCTGAACCAAACTTCCCTCTTTAATAACTCCTTTACAGCAGTCCTTGGCATCTTCAGCTAGGTTGATGCTAGTTGGCTCAAAGTTCTACTGGGAAGGTTCTGAGCCATCATTTTTCACTGCCAGGTGATAGGCCACAAACATGCAGAATCGTTTGTCTCTTTGCTCAAAGCAACACTTGAAAGCATAGGTAGATCAGATAGCCATGGTCTCCAAAACTGATATTTCTCTCTCACTATCTCTTCATCCTATGTGAGTCCATGTTTGCAGAGATCTTGAAGGACCTTTTTAGCTAGTAAGGTGACTGGTGATACTATAGCAAGTGGATCATAAATGGTGCTAGGCACTGATAGAATCCCTCTTCGTGTGAAGGGCTTATTCTTTGGTACTTTGAAGATAAACATATCGCTATCCATGTTACAATGAACACCATGGGTTATTTCAATAGGGAGTACACCAGAATTTAAATCCAAATCCAATATTGTTGAAGCTCTATCTGAGATTGGAATGGATTTGAGGTCTTCCCTCCTGTTACAAAACCGTTTAGTCAATCCAAATCCACCTCTTGACAATAGGACACACAAATCTTCTCTCAATTTCCAGGCGACTTCATTTGATTGCACCAATTTCAATCAGTTATCCACATAAAAGTTCTTCAATACTGTGTCGATCACTTCATTGTCAAAGTCTCCTGTATTGTCTTGAGCTATCTTTCGAAGACCAAAATTGTCCTTACTTGGTGAAGACGTGCTACAAAAAAGGTGTACTTAACAGGCTCCTTAGATAAGTCATCGTCAGGCCACCAAAGGAACCCTTAAGGTATCAACATCGTTTGGATTAACCATTACTTGATGGAACATTGCTTCAATGTCTGAGGAGGGAGATAGTGGTTTCTGACGAAATCTTAAGGGGACACCAAGCAGGCTGGACCACTGAGTGGTTGATCATTGAGTGATGTCCCTTTGTATCGGGCTGTGCAGTCAAACACTACTTGCAGTTTCCCAGACTTATTAGGACTGAAGGCAGCATATAACTGACTGGCGATTTCTTAACTCGAGGTTGTTCATTGTGTTTTTTTTAATTTTGGCTCATTTTTGCAAACCAACATTTTAATTCCTTTCGATAACATATCAGTTCAACTGATACTGACATCATACGCTACATCTAAAGAAAACATTCCCTACCCTCGAAAATGTGATCAAAACATCAGGAACATCAACAAAATTCTTCATCTTCTTGAGAATACTGCTAACTAGCACATGTGTTGATCACCAAGCACAAAACGCCAACCTCATCACCAGGGTCTCTATTCCTCCCTGTTCGGGGTTGTAATGATTCACTGTGTGGGAAGTTTTATTGACGCAATGTAAACTGGTATAAAACATCTTTCCCGTTTTGGATTATAGATCCAAAGTAATTAAAAATGCTCAAAGATGTTCCTACTCACCATGTATGTTAAGTCTCACAGTGGCTTTTGCTCCATCTCCAACGTCATTATGTGGGACACATTTGTACTCGCCATAGTGCTGAGATCGATTGACGTTATTGAGAATAAACACACTGTTTCTGTTCTTGCTTAGGAGGCTGCCATTGAAATAGAACTTGTAAATTGACACTTGAGGCACAGCAGCCATAACTATGCACGTGAACGTAACAGTGTCTCCTTCAGTGACGGTGTTTTGTGCAGCATTAGTGGTGAGCCTCACACCTTCAGGTTTGTCTAAAAGTTTAAATCAAATCAAAATCTCAATCGCAGTTTATTTCATCGCTCATACATTGCGCCTGGTTGTAAATCATAACCTCCTATGAAAGTCTAGAGGGTGCATGATAATGCAACAGGAGGGGGTTTTAATCTTGTACCAGTCCATGGAGTGCCTTGGGTAGAAAATATAACGTTTTTGTGATGGAAAATTGTAGCAAGTCATTTACCCACAGTCAGAATTCTGACTTTAAGCAAAATACTTTAACTTACACATTGCACACTGAAAAACAATTCTGCAGCAAGAAAAATAGCACCAACTATGTTGTTACTGAGATAGCTATTTTAAATCCTCTGTTAATAAAAATTAGCAATTTGCGAAGCCCAGCTTTATATTTTAGCGGACATAAAAATGTTGTCACTCAGAACATTTTTTGATGAAAATCCTTAATTTTGAGCCAGAAGACGGGTGCAACAGTGCCCTAGACGCTGCACGTGTGAGGATCTCATCTCGCAAAAAAGCGGAAACCCAATTTGAATCTAAGACATTCCTTATTTTCCTCAATTGGTACCAGGATGATTTATTTAAAAGTAAAACCAGGGAGATTTTGGTCAGGTTGTGTTCATACTACCCGGGCTCGTTTTACTTCTCAGGCTGAGAGTCTGAAATAGGCTAAATATGATAAGTGTTTTAAATTTGCACTGGCAATAGTATGTAAACTACTTGTTTGAATGAAAAACCTTGGGGAAACTAAATGAAGGTAGGAATTCATCACAAATTCCTGGATACCTTTATGGCAATTCTACTGCGTTGAAAAGAAGGCAATTACCCGGACACAATTCAGGATATTTTGCCACACTGTATTTATATCATATCTACAATTTCTGCTGACTGGCATCATAATTAGATGTTGAAAGTCAATGAAAATAAACCAGGACGAGAAGAACCAGGAATGTTACCAAGTTCTTAAAACATATTTTGAACGCGATATTTTAAATATGGTTTCAGCTTTCTAAATCGTTCTTTTCTTCTGTCAACCAAACTCCTCTAGCAAATCCAAAACTGTTAAAAATTTGAAATTATTTTTAAACCAGAAATGGATAACTGTTCTTGTGGTAGAATAGTATGGTTTTAGATATGGTTATAGTGCATCAACAGCCTAAGTATTGCTATTTTTTATTACACTCTGATCTAAAAATTGGACCAAAAAATTAAGTTCGTAACAAATAGAAATTTCAGACGCACTTCTTGAAAACTTTTTGTTTCAAATTGTTAGTATATATTTACAAAAAAAACACAATACTTTTAATGTTACCCACGTGTAGGCAAGCGCAAGCTCTCTTTTAGGAAAAAAGTTCAATTGGTGGCGCAATCCCCCTGAAGAATCCTGACCTTAAACCCATGAAACCTTGTGGCGTGAACTCAAGTTCTACTTCGAGTCAAAGGTAAAACTTAACAACAAGCAGGAGCTTGTAAATTGTATAAAGAAGTTCTGGGAGAGGAAGGTCACGCCGAAGAAGTGTGCGAAATACATAGATCATGTTTTGCAAAAAGTTGATCAAACTGTGGTGGAGGCTCGAGGTGCTGAAACAAAATATACAAACGGCAGCCACCGCGCCCTGCTCCACTTAATTCTCTGTTGACATTGCCTCATAGGTCGCTCAAAATGGCTCTTTAAGGAGCCACCAAATCTGATGAAAGTCAGTGACCAATCAGATCTTTTTATCACAAAGAATTTTCTACAATATTGATATAGTTAAGCAGTGGGATATCATTTAGAAACTTCGTTTCCCACACTGAAGCTGTTAAATGAAACAAAACATGCAGAAATGACAAAGATTATGATTTGCGTAAAACTCTTAGGTTATGTGTAGCCACTCAATTATGGAACGCTACCCGTTTAATGAAATATAATATGTTATTATCACGAAGATTATCATCAGTTTGCGCAAAACGAAACCAAGGTGATTTTCGTCAAGTAATTTTCGCCAAGTGCTTTTCGCCAATGTTTATTGAACCACAAGAAACTTAAATAGAATGAAAGCTAAGATGTAGTGGTATATTGCAACTAAAAGAGCACATAAATACAGTGAAGTTCACAGAAACGGACTTGGCGTTCTTCCATCATGATAATCACAAATGACAACGTAACCTGTTACATGAGTTTCGTTCTTACGAATGGGGTTCGTTATAAGATCGAATGAAATTTATATCATATGTAAGGTTAGATCTTAAAGTTAAACTAATTTTTGGTTTTAAGAATGCGAAAATTGAAAGTGTTCACAAACACGGTGAAATTTTTCAGAAAGCAACTTGCTTTCCTCTGGGAGTCTCAGCTGTCAAACGGATCAAACTTTGAAAATATTAGTTCTAAACACCATCTTTTTCTCGGGATTTGAAACTAGTGTCATCATGAAGCAGGACAAAGAAAAACTGCTTTCGATTATCTTCCAATAGCGATGATAATGCTTTACGGGCGAGTTAAGAATTATCAACATGCATAATTTTTTTTTCATTTAAACGACCTGAGACAAAACTATCAAGTAATAAAGGCTTGGATTAGAATGCTTTTACCAAACAACACCAACGCGTTTCTAACGTCATTATAATTACTTTAACAACAATTAGCACGCGAAAGGACGCCAAACTTAATTATTGTCAACGTAAAGTTGCAAACAACAAGGTAGTTTGCATGTAATGTAAACTAAAAGAGACCAATCAGATTACAGACTTTTCGATCTGAAAGGTTTAGTTTCAGCCGATTTTCGCACCTCTCAGCTGATCTCAGCCATTAGTAAAGAAAACTGTAATTTCTCAGATGACATAATTTTTACCAATTGTCAGCTTTCTATTAGAAAATTAAGGTTAAAATATACTTACACTGAACTACAATTGATGTGTCAACAGAAGTGACTTCCACTGAGTTATTGGCTCGACATGTGTATTTTCCTGCATCCCTTCTGTTTATATTATCGAACTTTAAAAACGTAGCTTTCTTCTCTGAACTTTCCAGCACTCCATTTCTAATCCATGCTACATCCGGCAGTGGTTTCCCAGAAGCTTCACAGGCCATGGTGACAGAGGATCCTTCAATGTAATATTTTCCTCTTAAAGAGATGTTTATAAGTAGTGCCTCTGAAAGGTAAAAGAGATAATATCATTCCTCATATAGCATAGCAAATCTAACTTGGACTCAGTCTTGAAATTTACCCAATTTCAATAAAATAAACCAAAGCATCCAGCAATTGGTACCCAACAACCAGCTAGTATAGGAGGCTTAAACTTCATTCAGTACAAGTCAACCTGGCACTAGCTACTGGAGAACCTGCTTACAAGCTCAATTATAAAGCAGAGCCTCAGCCTAGTAAATGAAGGGATAATTCAGGAAGTTACTCTTTGGGCTAAGGACCCTGGCTTCTAAGCTACTTGCTTAGGGTTAGGGTTTAGACATGGATTGGCTTTGGGATACAAAAACCAAATGCAAATGATGATTCGTTTGCCCATTTTAAGCCATAATAACCTGGTATCTTTCTATCGTAATACGATTGGAAAAGAGAAGCAGTGTGACAGGTACTGTACTACAGTTAAAATAAGCCAACAGAACTTAGCAAATGCATGATTAAATAAAAGAAAAGAAAGAAGATTATGTAATGGCTGGTGAGCTCAAACAATTTTTATTCATGAGTCATAAAGGATCAAAAACAAGCAAGAGAACATAGTAAAAAGTGAGTTTGGATTCTTCACAAGTGAAGAAAATCGTTCCAGCAAACAATTGTACAATTGTACATGAGTACAAAGAAGTTACATACTCAATATCACAATTTATTTAAATGTATTTAATGTTGTTAGGACATCTTAGATACTGTAATTCAAAATGAAAGGTAAACACTCAGAAAGAAGATTAAAAAGTCTATTCAAAGAACATTTATTTGGGCTTCCGTTTTATACATGAAAAGCTTTCTGAAAAGTTTAGGTTACATAAGCTTACAAATCATTTCATACTCTAAAGTGAGATTGAATATTACATCATTCTTCATTGAATTATTTTCTTTTTGCATGCTCAACGTCTTTCACAGGCAAAGAGAGCTTGAATTATGGGCTTCAATGTTTTACTGTTTTCATAACTTTAGGAAAATTGTGCTCCATCACACAAATCTTCAAGTCTCAACTTGCTCCTTAGTATCAGAAATTACTTGAGGAAGTCACCATTCTGCTGGCTAAATTTACATCTGCAGACCTCTAGGTTCATATAATCCTCAGAAAGCAGCAAATGACGCAGTGCCGACTTTCATTGCCTTTGGCAAGTCCCTTTTTAAGGCATGAAAAGCAATACAATCTTTTTCACACCATTTTAATTTCACATGCTGCCTGTGATTGGTAATGCAATATTTTCCTTTATTGATTTTGCAAAATTGTAAAATCAAAACCAGTTGGATTGTTTCCAGTTTCAACTGACCATCCTAAATTGAAAGCTTTGCTAAGAGAAAATCTCTGCGCTCATATATTAATAATGGTTATCTATACATAACAGAGCAACCCAGTATAATTCAAGGTGCCAGAAGAATAAAGCAATAACTCTCTGATAACTCATTGATTAAATAAATGATAGAGTTTCGTTAGGAGTGTAGTGTTTCATGCCAAGTAAAAGAAGCACTATTGTTCCCAAAAGTCAGGTTAGCTAGCCCCGCATATAAAGGTTTTTTGCACATTTATGCTATTGTTTACTTCCTCCACATCTTAGAAATATGAAAGACATGAGTTAAATGCATTTGATTCACGTTTAATTAGTTATGTTTATATCTGTAATATGTACCTGCCACAATAAGCTGAACTGTACTTGCAATCGTCCCTACAAAGCTCCCAAACATACTACATTTAAATTCGGTATTGTCTCCAGGGTTGATGTTCTTGATAACCAGGGTAGCTCTTCCTTCAATTTTAACTCTTCCTTTGTAAGATGAAGGAATATTAGGATGTTCTTGGACACCACGACTGCCATTAACCATCATTCTGACAAATGTACCATCTACCAGAACACTGTAGATAATGTACTGAATCTTATTATGCGAATCAGTGTAGTCCCACACCAGGTTGGCATCACTACCATTGTTAAAGTAGCTTGGATTAGAAGGTTCCTGGGTGAAATGCACATCCACACCCCCTAAAACTGACAACCATAAACATAATATTCTCAGCCCTTTAGTAAGGATAATATTTAAGAAGAAGGGCTTGAATAGAGTCCACCAAAGAGGCAATTTTAGCGTAAGAACGCAGTATAAAAATAATAAGTGTAACTATGCACTAAATTGGTATTCATTGATATCAATCAGGTCAAATATATACTTTCATTTGCTAATAAGAAATAAGGCTCAATAACAGTAATGTGCAACTATTTGTGCCTTTTGAAAATCTTTTTTGACAAGTTCCACTTACTTTAATTTCCAAAATGTATGCAGTGGTGAATTTCCAAAATTTAAAAGGGGTACACTTGAAGAAATCTTTTGAAGAAGAACTTGTTGAGGTGGAAAATGGAAAGTGGAAGTGCCCACACATATTATATGTTAAACCATCAAATGAGGGATTTATTATTCCACTCATTTCATTTTCTGGTCTTTTGACTTCTAGTTTTCAAAAAGTTTGTATAGTCTTATCTGAGTACCCTTCTGATTACATAAGATGTGCATTAAAGAAGAAAACAACAGAAAAGAAACCATTTAAGAGTTCTTGATGACCAGAACAAAATTTTTGTGGGCTTTAAAGTTCAGTGCTGAAAAAATTATGCCTAAAATTTGGAAAAGAAATCAAGAATCACATGCATCACTTCTCTCCCTATTCTTGCCCTGTTCTGCAGTGTATAACCAAAGCATTAATTTCATTCATTTCATTGCCCTAACAAGGTAAAATAACATAATAATGAATAAAAATTAACAAATATTTGCCAAAGGTCAAGTGAGTATTATTCAATGATCTTCCCTTTGCCTTCAGCAAATAATTGTTTTAATATAATCACTCAGGTGTTTTCAAATTCTTCAATAAATTTTGTTAATGAAAAAAGCATTGCTCACATTTTGTTACAATTGTGTTGATTACCTGTACACTGTATCAAGATGAGTAAGCAGTTTTGAGAGGTTTATTTTTTATTCCAAAACTTTATCTCTTTGTTTTGAAAAGTGTTCTGCTAATCTTTTAGCATCTTTCGTGCTCTTTGCAATTTAATTTTCTTCTACTGCATCTATCACTCCCTCACAAACATTTGACAGAACGTGAGGCAGCCATTTTGAAATTTAGGGCTCCTGCTATAATCACCCTATTCTCTGTGATTATAATAAGATGTGATGTAATCCTTGACCAATCAGAGCATGCACATCTCTATAATCACCTGAGTGAGCAATTATACTAATAAAGTATTTATCATTGAAGTCATCACATAACACAAAGTAAAGACAACAATGACAGCACAAACAACAATGCAATGATCAATCAACTGTCACATGTGCATGATTTTCCAAAAACTTAGGTGTATTATGCTGGCATAAAAATTCCAGAAATCAAAATAAAAAAGAAATCAAACACAATTTTCTATTTTCTTTAACCTTGGTCATAGAAAGGATGTCAACAATTTTCAAAACTGTGCCTCCTTAAATATCTTTGAATATGTTTGACCTCATTTCTACCATCCATAAGGTTTTGTATAATACGCTGAATTCTACATGTATTTTGATTGGTTCTTTAATGAAATTATGATCTATTGGAGGAATTTTTTTACTCCTCTACTACTGTTGTGCTGTTTGTTATTCTGCTCTGTTTTCATAACTGACAACTAGAGCAAGCTAAGCTGCATCTTATGTGCCACTTTTTTGTTCTTACCATATTCTGACATCACATGTGATCTATTACTGAACAGGTGCATAGCAACATGGAATCTATTTTTAAGTAGATGATGGAAAATTATGGTGGATTTGTTCAAGTACTTTTGTATAAATTGATTGCCAAGCTAACTAGTGGCTTGCCACCAGCTATTCACCTCACCTTAAAGCAATAACCAAAGCAGCTGTCACAATAAATACAAAAACAGCAACCAAGTGTGCTTTGATAGCATTGAATTATTAATTAACCAACCTTTTAAACCTTAATTTCTTACAGAAAGAATAGATTTTTCTTACACTGTACTGTAAAGCTTTATACAAGTGAAAGATGAAAATTCAGCTTTTTTTTTTGTACATGTACCATTGTGTCATTAAGCCCTCTAATGTTCTACTTGTGTGCAAGACAGCAAGACAGGAACTAAATGTATTTCCTATGTGAAGCAGTTCTGCCATAAAAAGAACTGGATTTGGTAGAATCCTTGATTATACCCTGAAAGCCAAATTTGCTCTTGTCTTTTTTTCCCTATCATGTATTGGAAGCCTAAGATGCCAATTTGAAGCACAAATTTTTGCTCATTCACATAAGCATGAATCAAATCACAAAGCTGGATTTCAATGCTTTCTTGTGAGAGTCAGAATCTGGACATATAAGTCTTTTGTACCATTTTAGAGGAGATTCCACTTTAGTTTCCTGGATTGCAAATGTCAGGGATTGATCAAAGCATAAGAATAGTAGATTTAGACAAAGATTGTGATCAGTTTCCATGAGGTGAAATCAGAATGATTTTCACAAATTTTAATGAAGTCCAGCTGACTTCTTGTTTTCAACTTTGAAGTCACAATTCTACAGTTGTCAATAACCAGAAAACCTTGCTAACATTAAATGTAAATTTAAAGTTAAAGTAAATTTTACTTTCATTCACTTTGGCCAGCCCCCACAACACAAAGGCAAAAAACCCATGCTACTGTTTTCAGTGGTCAAAAATTTCATCTTCATCTTGTGGTTTAAGTCAGATGGCCATTTCTCAATTGTGAGAAAAAACCATCCTACCTATTAGAATTTGTGCATTTTATTACAAATCCTTTTTTATTTTGCCAATTTAGCTTGGAGCAAATCTCAGTGTGTATATGATAAGCAAACATATCTACACAAAGATTTCAAATGGTTAAAACTTTAACTGTTTTTAATTACACAAAAAAAATAAGTCATCAATGATTACCGTTGTGGGATACCACAATCATATGTGCATAAAGCTAAAAGCCAGTCAAGTAAACAAATCCCACATGTTGGTATATGAGCAAACAATGCTCATTTATTCATCCAAGTGCATTATCTGTAGTTTCCTTACACGATTGCCGCCTAAAGGAAAAGTCACACTCAACTTAGCTAACAGCAATTATCCTTGCTGAGGTCATTATTTGCACCAATAATGAGTGGAAAAATTGGTAACAGCTCTTCTCAAAAATGAGTGATTGATGGCAAGGAAGAGAGTTTATGTACATATGGCGACTCTCTTCTGGGTTTGCAAAGCCATTATGTTTGTAATGTAAAGCCACCTGACAAAGCAGTAACTTTTCTAATGGCTTAAAAGACGACTCACACTATTTAAGAAAATATTGCACTTCTAAGTTTCAATTTTTATGTCAAATTCTAAACGTATGTATTGTTACACTTGAAGCATAAAATCCTTTGCTCTTGATTTCTATCGCATCATAGTTATTCATACCTCGTTTATCACGGGATTGAAATTCCAAAAACATATCTAAATTTTGAAATACAAAAACTGTTGAAAGCCACCTTGGAGTTCGGAAATCATTTTGACGAAAATCATGTTCAGAAATAAAGAATCGGCGTTTTCGATGTCTAAAGCTTAAAATGGCACATGGTAAAAAAATATTGTCAAATCCTTTGTACAGAAGAATAACTTCACACTTACCTGACCCGTGAAACTTTACCAGCAGAAGAAAGAGTAAGCAAATTTCATAATCACGCAAAGACACCATCCTATCAGACCTTTGCTGATGCTTCAATGAGGGAAGGTTGCGTTTAAATCTTACGGAAGTCACTTGAAGGATAGACTAGAATGCCCTTCTTCGTTTTGAGACTGGGACCGAGTGTCACCATCATAGTTGGCAAATTGCCTGAACAACATGATGGATGGTGCGATTTATGGTTGAAAACTCCATTTATGCTAGACACCTAGGACAATTGCATGAATTGTAAAAACTTTTCTTCTGGAGAAACGTTCCATTCGGATTAAACTATGCGTGAAACTTGCGAATGTGTCGAATGAGAACAAAAGCACCGATCGATCACGCGCGCGTAAATGAAAGTCACGCAAATAAAAAATAACTTGTAACAGACAGATTTCTACTCCTCTTTCTTGTTTATCAACCTTGGATTCTTTTCCTAAGGCCACTAAATATAATCAAGGTCGGGTTCTACTGATCTATCCCCTGTGGGATGCACAAGAGTACCTATATTTCTGGGGCCGGAAACGGAAGTCAAGTGGATTACAAGTGAGATAATAACGCAATCCAGACGCGCAAACTCAGTCAGTACATAGCAAGAAATGCGGGAAAGTCAATTTGAAGACATCTCTTTTTAAGAGTAATTTTCCTTAATCTTGATATCAGCTTCTTCGTGTATCTTCGAACCATTTTATCTAAAAACATCTCTAAGACTTTTAGTTTTGTACCCGATGTAAAAAGGGACTTTAGGATACGGTATGGTGAATCTGTACCAATGCTACCTTGGCCGCGATAGACTAGGGTGACTACGGCGTATTTCCTTCCAAATACGAATTGTTAAGTTACAGCGACACTACGGCAAAAAGCTCAGAGCTCAAAGCGTTGTTGTGCATTTATTCTATTGGCAAAAGTGTCATCCTTCAAGGAAGCAAGAGAGTTATTCCGTCTTTGTTATAAGATGAACTACATTAGTGATGACGAATTTTTGTTGCTTTACGCTAGCTACGAATCACAAAACCTATAACTTCCGTATGACTCGTTCTCTGAATTTGACTTCGAAAATTTTAGCGACGACGAATGTTTGGCACAGTTTAGACTTTAAAAAATGCACATACCGTAATATTAGATGCAGCCAAGGGAGTGTTTGTGATGGAGAAGAAAGCTTTATGTTTTCTGTTAAAACGTATGTGTTTTCCATGTCGGTACAGCGACATGGTACATTTGTTCGCCAAGCCTGTTGTTCCTGTTATCAGCATGATAACAAATGAAGCGTTGGATTACATTTACGCAACTCACAGTCATCGTATTCAACAATGGAACCATCA